TTATGTAATATATACAACATATTTCCACAACTGTAAAATGTATACATATATTTATAAATAAGAAACATATACAGTTAACCTTTAAACAGAATGGGTTTGAACTGCATGGGTCCACCTATACACCAATTGTTTTCAACCAAGGCAAATAGAAAATATATTTTCTATATTTTTTATAATTATATTTAATTATATTTTTTGTTTTTAATTAAATATAAAGAGAAAAACCTCGTATGAGAAGGCTGTGTATGTGAAGAGTCAACTTTTCATATACATACATGGGTTCTGCAGGGCTCTACGGGACTGAGTATGTGTGGATTTGGTATCTGAGGGTGGTCCTAGAACCAATCGTCTGTGTATATGCAGGGATGACTTTAATTCACATGAAACAGAAAGGTATGAATGGTTAATAATACCAGTGTGAAGGAAGAACAAGAGTATGAATGTGGGGACTAGAATTATATGAAATTGCACATAAGCCCAATGTCAGCCATCAGAATAATTAGAGACACTAATGTTTACAAGGTTTTCATCTTTTAAGATTAAATTCATGCAGTGGCTCACATCTGTAATCCTAGCACTTTGGGAGGCTGAGGTGGGTGGATCACCTGAGATCAGAAGTTCAAGACCAGCCTGGCCATCATGGTGAAACCCCATCTTATAAAAAAACAAAAAGATTAAATTCATGAATGGAAGCCTCCAAAAGATGTGATCAAGCAATTTGTTATGACTCCACAGCATCTCCTGGCTGAGAGTGAGGAAAGAATGTACAGATCAGTTAGTCCAACCTCCTCTTTTCATTGAAGGAACTGAGGGATATTTGGGGAAATTTCCCAAGTCACAGAGCAAACCTCGTCTTATTAAATTATTGAAATATGCAGACACCAATATGTGGTTTATAAAATGTGTATGCTGTGCACAGGCTGTAAACAAACCACCACAGCTCCTTTCTCTGGAAATGGCACATATTCCAGAACTTTCCTTGGTTAAGCTGTGGCAGCTTAAATCGTGTTTGAGTTTGGGCTGGCTTAGGAGCAGGGAATGCATGCAGTCCAGGCAGGGGAAGGGAGGAGCAAAAAAAAAAAAGGATCTCAGAGGTCAGCAGCAAAGGGAAGCAGGCAGCAGAAGAAAGTATACTATGTGTTCATGTACGCCCAACTGACAGCATTATGCTTCCCTCTACTGAGTCATCTAGTCAGTGTTATTTGAGAACTAATAAAGATCCCTTTTCCAGGATCTCGCTACTTTCTCAGGAAATAAACAGCAGTAAAGCTCAGAGCTTATAAAGCACAAGACAAGTTATTTTGATGGGGGTCAGAAAAGACAGGGATTATTAGGCACGTACCCTCAAGGGCAGGCCCAGGTAGAAAACCCAGAAACTTGCCTGAAGGCACTGAGCTCCAGGTTAGGAGTGCAGAAAAGAGAGAAACAGGAAGCAGAAAGTGGGGAGTGGCTTGGCACAAACACAACACAATGTTTACACACTCCACAGTGATGCCAATGCTGCATATGGCAGCACTGAGTCAACAGCATTAGGTACAAGGACACTCAGCTCCTGGCCTTCAGGGAACAGTGGGTGGAAGAAAACTCTGCAGGGTGATGACGGGCAGTCTTCCTCTTCATGCACTCTGAGGAACCATGGCCTTGGTGCCGCGCTGGGCACCTTCTCTCACAGTTTCCACTCCCTGTGCACCCCTGCTTACTTCTTTGGAGTGATCCAGAACCATGACATAACCTGCTGTTCTCTTCCTTCTCCCTAGGAAGAATGGCTCCTATACTCTTAACCCTGCCCACCTTAGTCCATCTATTGTCTCTTCTCTTCCAAATTAGTCAACCTTCCTTGGTTTCCACCCTCAGGCCTCATTCTTCAACCCCTTTCTCTCTTGGTTCCCTTCCTCTTCCTTCTCTTCACTTTCAGAGGTCTAAGCCTATGCTGTCTCGTTCCTTTCTATACCAGCCCAGAGAACATCCTTCACTATGGGCCCCACTCAAGTCCTCATTTCTCGCAACCTTTGACCGTGTTCTCTACCTTTCATGAAATGCTCCTCCTCTTCCTCTACTTTTCAGGAGATATTCTCCACATTTTTCTATCTTTTCACTTTTCTTTGCTGGCTTCTTTTCCTCTGTGCCTGCATCTCAAATATCAGTATCTCTAAGGTTCCAAGCTTGGAAATTTACTTGCTCTCATTAGGTGAAGTCACTTCAACTGCCAGATGTATGTCAACAACTTCCAAATCACACACCTCTCTGGAGCACCAGATCCACATTTCCACCTCCAGATGGTAATATTCACCTGTATTGTTTCATAGGCACTTCAAATTCAGCACATCTAAAACTAAACTTCTCTCTTTCCATCTGTACTTCCAAATTCTTCTTCCTGTGGTCCCTATGTTAATTACCAGCACTAAATCTACTGAATGGCCTAAGTTGAAAACATCACTTCTTTTTCATCTCTCTCTTCTTTTTTTGGGGGGGTGGAGCAGGGTCTTGTACTGTTGCCCAGGCTGGAGTGCAGTGGCACAATCATGGCTTATTGCAGACTTGACCTGCTGGGTTTAAGAGATCCTCCTATCTTAACCTACCAAGTAGCTGGGACTATAGGCACATGTCACCACACCTGACTAATTTTTTTAAATTTTTGGTAGAGATGAGGTCTCATTACATTTCCCAGGCTGGTCTCAAACTCTTGAGTTCAAGTGGTCCTCCTGCCTTGGCCTCCTAAAGTGCTAGGATTACAGCATGAGCCACCGCGTCCAGCCTCTTTCATCTTTTGCAGCCATCACTATATGATGCAAATCTAATCATTCCACTCTCCTACTTAAAATGCTTTAATTGCTTTCTCTTGCCACTAGAGAAATTCCAAACATTTTTGGAAAAAACACAGGCCCCTTCATATCCTGGCTCCCTTTTCCCCAAATCTCACTGCCCTCCCCACCCTCCAACAGAACTATTCCCTCTGCGCATGTCAGAAGGCTTGAGCTTCCCTGAATATATTGTCACTTCAAGGCTTTGAGATTATTCTCTCCACTTGGAATGCCTTTCCCTCTGTTGTCTGATTGACTAAGATAGAACTTACATGAAGACTCTCCTCAAATGTCACCACTTCAGTGAAGGCTCACCAACTCAACATCTGTTCTTTATCCCTTTCCCCCAGGGGTCTTGCGCTCCAATCCTCCCCATTGAAAAAATTGACTGCTCCATGCTGGTGGTGCCACTGGACTCCTGTACTCTCCTTCGAGGAGCTAATTACATGTGTATCTCCTACACCAGACTGTAGGTCCCATGAGTACAGGGACCCTCAAGTTCATCTTTGCCTCCTTAGCACCCTAAGCATGGCCCCCTGGAGCACAGTAGGTATTCAGTAAATATGTGCTGGGCAAGGGGCAATAATTACGTACTATCACTTATCAAGCACGTCACACATGTAAAGCACTTGGCATCATTATGTCATCGCCACACACTATGAAGGGGATATCAACCCATTTTGCAAGTGAGAAACAAAGTTTACAAGGATGAAGTCATTTACCCAAAGTCAACAACTGGTAAACACAAGTTTACTTTTGACTTCTGAGCTCCTGTTTTTAACTACTCAGCTCTACTCTTGGATGAAAGGAGGTTGATGAATAGGGCTGTGTTTCTATAAAAACAATCTCCCCCAATCACAGGCATAGCTGCTGGGTTAGTCCCAAATCCACTGCCAATATGGTGTTACTGTGCACAGCAAAATCTGCAACTGCTGATTGATTTCTTCCATGATGGTTGTCAGGATTCCTACAACCAAGGAGAGTGGGCACTATTTATAAAAATCAGGTTCTTGGTCTCTGGCTTAGAATGCTCTATCCAGGAAACATCACAGAGAAGGCTGGATTTCCACTAGGTTTCAGACATGGATGTCTATGCCCTGTTCTGGGAGCAAAGATGTGGGAGTGAGTGTGATCATGATGAGGTAAGAGATAGATTTCAATGTGCATACTCTTGGAACATTGTTGCAATACTTAAGAGTTACTTCTTGTACAACTACTTTCATTACCTAGAACCGGAAGACCTTTCTAGTCTCCAGTCCAGACTCTTAAAATTAACAATGACTTCTGTATATTCAGTGGTCCATCACAGAACACATATATCTCATGTTTTCCGCTCTACAGAACTATAATACATTCAGTTGCCTTTTCCAGTCACTCTCTTAATTCATGTATTTTCTACTAAATGCATTCTAAAATTGAACTCTGCAATGTTCTCTAATTCTAGTGACTTTTTAATAATAGTCCCTTATTTTCTACTAATACCTCCACCACCTCCACAACCATTCAACAAATAACTGGAATCAGTCCTATGCTTACACTGATTAGTGCATCTAATCCTCCCGAATCACAGATGATCAAACTTGTCCAAGGCCACTCAGCTAGTAAGGGGCACACATACACATTGGGCTCCAAACATGAGGACTATTTGCTAGTATTCTCTCCTTTACTTGTTGACTTTTGTATACACAGATACACGTGGCTGGGTGTGGGGAACGTTCTTTCTCCCCACTCCCAAGCCTTATTTACCTGCCAAATTCCTATTGGTTGTTTAAGGTTCAACTCAAGGACAATCTCCTCCATGAAGCATCTCAGGTTTTCTCTGCCCTCTCTCCTGTCTGGGTGGGATGCCCCTGACCTGGGCTTCATTACCACCCGTGCTTCTATCTCCTCCCCGCTTTCCCTGAAAGGCAACTATCGCAATTGTCAGTTGACTCCTCTCTCTCTCTTACTCAGCTGTAGGCTCCTCCAGATCCTGGTAAGGTCTGAGTCTTGGGATTCTGAGCATTTAACACAGCGCACAACACATGGCACATATACAACCAATGCTTGTTAAATACCAAGTCATCCCACTTCTCTGATTTGGTCAAAGGCCTGATGGATGATGTCATCTGACTTAGCAAGAGAGACAGATGATTCCCATCATGAGTGATACAGGGTATCATTTCCCCAGCTTTTCATGAACTCATTCTATCTCACTAGGTTTACAAGGAGACAAGTAGTTACCACTAATTGAACAACAGCCACTTCTCAGACACTGGAGTCTATGCTTCACTCATATCACTCAGTATCCTCACAATACTGCCAAGTGGACATAATGATTTATATTCATTTCATGAAGAAGTTTAAGATCAATTATCTTAAATAACTGGCCTACAGTCACACAGAAGGCAGGCTTTGTTATAGAAACATAAGACCTGGCACCATAAAAACCCTAGAAGGAAATCTAGGCAAAACTATCCAGGACATAGGAGTAGGCAAGGACTTCATGAACAAAACACCAAAAGCATTGGCAACAAAAGCCAAAATAGACAAATGGGACCTAATGAAACTCCACAGCTTCTGCACGGCAAAAGAAACAGTCACTAGAGTGGATCGGCAACCAACAGAATGGGAAAAAATTTTCGCAGTCTACCCATCTGACAAAGGGCTGATATCCAGAATTTACAAAGAACTCAAGCAGATTTACAGGAAAAAAACAAACAAGCCCATTCAAAAGTGGGCAAAGGATATGAACAGATACTTACGAAAGAAGACATATATGAGGCCAACAATCATATGAAAAAATGCTCATCGTCACTGGTCATCAGAGAGATGCAAATCAAAACCACATTGAGATACCATCTCACGCCAGTTAGAATGGCGATCATTAAAAAATCTGGAGACAACAGATGCTGGAGAGGATGTGGAGAAAAAGGAACACTTTTACACTGTTGGTGGGAGTGTAAATTAGTTCAACCATTGTGGAAGACGGTGTGGCGATTCCTCAAGGCCTTAGAAATAGAAATTCCATTTGACCCAGCAATCCCATTACTGGGTATATATCCAAAAGACTATAAATCGTTCTACTATAAGGACACATGTACACGAATGTTCATTGCAGCACTGTTTACAATAGCAAAGACCTGGAATCAACCCAAATGCCCATTGATAATAGACTGGATTGGAAAAATGTGGCACATATACACCATGGAATATTATGCAGCAATCAGAAATGATGAGTTCGTGTCATTTGTAGGGACATGGATGAATCTGGAGAACATCATTCTCAGCAAACTGACACAAGAACAGAAAATGAAACACCGCATATTCTCACTCATAGGCGGGTGATGAAAAATGAGAACACATGGACACAGAAAGGGGAGTACTAAACACTGGGGTCTATTGGGGGGAAAAGGGGAGGGCCAGTGGGAGGGGGAGGTGGGGAGGGATAGCCTGGGGAGAAATGCCAAATGTGGGTGAAGGGGAGAAGAAAAGCAAAGCACACTGCCATGTGTGTACCTACGCAACTGTCTTGCATGCTCTGCTCATGTACCCCAAAACCTATAATCCAATAAAAAATTAAAAAAAAAAAAAAAAAAAAAAGAAACAGGTATAAAATGCCCTATCACATGTAGTCTTCCCTGGCCTGGAGAGATTCATTAGTTATTTGTGAAAATTACTTACAGGCCAAAGAAACAAAAACTATGTTAATTTGATGCTAGAATACTAAATAGTAAACTGCTAGAATAGTACAAGTGTGGTAACCTAGTATTTATAGAGGCTACAAGGCAGTTCTAACATACTCATCTGTCCAGGGCAAATCATGTCTGCAGTCCTTATCAGACAGATGAAGACTGTAATATCTATTTACCTCAAAGGGGGCTGAATATCACATAAGATCATAGTTGCCAAAGTGCTTTGTGATGGAAGAGGACAGAGACTCATTTTAGAGCACGGTGGGGGACAGTTTGATAGCAGTGGAAGACCCTAGGCATCAGAGCTACCTGAGATGCTGTTTAACAGCCAATGAGGGAAGCTTGACTGGGAATCCACATTTATCATAACAAGCCCCCAAATGATTCTCTGGGACACTGAAATAACAGGTTACAGCAGTGCTTCTCAAATGTTAACATACACATGGGGATCTTGTTAAAATGCAGATTTGAATTCAGTGGGTCTGGAAGAAAGGAGCAGGCAGGCTAAGATTTTGCATTTCTAATAGCCTCCCAGGGGAGGCCACATGCTACTGGTCCATAGACCATGTTTGAATGGCAGGGGCTTGGAAGATCTATCCCCACTGGAACAAATTAGCTTAGTTTCTGATTGCACCCCACCCCACCACCCACCACACGCCAACTTCAGAGAGTATCTTTGATAAAGCCCAGGGTCTTAGTACTGGTACAAAATTACTTGAACTACTCAAAACCAAATGGAAACACACTTTATATCACAGGTAAAGCAGCAGCATTCTTTTTAGATACAGATAACATATATTTAGCATGTGAAAGAATATTACTACTGCGTGAGTCCTATTTAAAAGCGCACATACATAAGCAGAATACTTATAGGAATAAAAAAGAAAAAAAATAAAAGCGCACAAAGCATTTTATATACGTTATCTCTAATCCCCACCCTGCTCCCAACAAGGTGGATATTCTTGTTCTGTAGATAAGGATATGGTGACTTAAGTAACTTGGTCAAGGTCACATGGCTAGTTAGGTGTTACTGCAGGGATTCTGATCTTGCACCATCAGGACCCAAAGCCCATGTGTCCTCTGTACTCTCTCAGAGTGTTAGAAATGATTGTGATATGAAATGCATCAGCTTGGGTATCAAGAACAAAGTGAGGAAAAAGTGTTTCTCCTCTATCCGTTTTTGAGTTTAAGGCTCTGCTGAGGCAGATTGTGAATGGTAGTGAGATTAGGATATAAGGTTCATTAGTGATCTATGTTGCCTCATGGACAAAAACATGCAGATAGCATCCTTATTAATGGTTCCCATAAATCTGATAATGTAGATGGAGAAAAAGGACACTAGTGACCAGCGTGCTGATTATAAACACTGCCACCTTCCCTCGGGCTTCTAGCTGTCAGGCTCAACCAACTAAGAGGAAACACTCTTCCCATCCCTGTGGCCTGTCAACTTCCTCCCTCTCTGCTGTGCGTGGTTTCTGTAATCTTAAAAGTTCATATCAAACACAGGTTTATCCTCCTATGACAAGGCATAGTTGCCACACCTCTATACTGCTGATAACGCTGCTTGCACCTGAAAAAATGTACGATTTAGTCAAATGCCTTGAAAATCTAGTGATTTTTGAAGGCTCTGAGTAACAAAATTTTCTATACTTTTTATAAGGTTGATGTGGAGAGATGCACTGCTATGCCTAGAGAAAGCAGTGAGATAGTTATTCAGGTGTTCCAAATGGGGGAAAATAGTTACAAAATAAACCACCCAGGCAATTACTATCCAGTGTTTTTAGCATTAAATTATCCATGGGTGGAGAATACAGGGTTAGGCTTTTTAACATCAGGTCTCTCCACGAGTAGCCCTCTGAAGTTTAACTGTTACATTTTCTAAAGATTCATCTTTATAATCAGTACAATTATTTCCCTTTGTAATACAAACAGAAACAATTTCCCTTTGTAATACAAACAGAAATCAACATCTCTTACAATTAAAATATATACATAGTGATAGTATAAAATCAAAGAGTGATATTTGAGCCATTAAGGATTATAAATTGATTTTTGTCCCTGTGGTATCTTCTACAAGGGGTGTTTCAAAAATAAAGATTGAAATCTAAAAAGATATCTTTGGTTTGAAAACTTTCTTAAAAGCATTTTTAGAGAGTGTGTTTATTTTAAATAGGGGGTAAGATATTGCATAGGGAGCTAGATTTCAAAGTAAGCATTTCTTGTTTCACTCCCCCCGCCTCCCTGCAACAGTTCAAAATCTCAGATTCAAACCAGAGGCACAGAAACCAATTTGAGATTTTCTTAAGAGACCTCACCGAAATGCATGGGCAAAAACATGTTGGCAATGAGTCATAATTTACAGGACCTTAATGGTCAATGAATGCCTTATGTGCCTTTCTTCCTACATTCAGTATCACTCCCAAACCAGCTGGTGACATATTTTCTAGGCCTTCATAATTTTTATACAGTTACTAGGTCTCAGTTACTAAGGCTGCCACCAAGATTCATGAACAAAACCCTTTCTTGTGCTGATTTTTTAATGCCATCTAAAAGAAGAGAATGTTATTCTTTCCAAACTAACTCTCCCAAACCAGACAGTTAATGCCCTTAGCCAGCATAAGGCGCGATACTTTTAAGACCCCAAAGAGAAGCTCAGGGGCTTTGGAGCACTACAAGTAAAAAGACCGTGGGAAAGGTTCGTGGAGAGCCGCCTTGGGGGAAAGGCAGACATAACAACAGGATATGTTCGTTTCTAGAGGAAGCAGGAGCTGCAATAGCCCCGGAGCAGGAAAGGCGGAGTCAGCAGCACCCAAAGGAAACAGGCGCGCCAGGGTTTGCCAGAACGGGGGTTGCTTAGGGGCTCTCGCCCCGTCTAGTCCGAGACTGGTGAGCAACTCGCCCGCGGGGGGACCAAGCTCAGGCCTCCTGACGCTAATGGTTATAAAGAGGTACCCATAAGCTATCTGTCGCCCCTGCCAAAAACGGGCCACCGGGGAAGAGAAAAAGCACACATCAGGCGCCGCGGCAGGTGAACTTGTCAACAAGTCAACCCTGGCCGCGAGTCCCTGGCCACCAGGGAGCTCGGGGTCCTGGGGCCGGAGCCGCGGGGAAGTCGAGGAGCGGGGTGGGTGGGTGGGGTGGCTGGCGTGGGTGCCTGTGCTCCCAGCGCTAGGGCTGTAGCGCGGAACGCGTCCCTCCCGCTCCCCCGGGGCTGACGCACGCCCTCATGGCGCGCGCATCCTCCAGACCTTCCCAGGCCAGAGGGAGGAGGCGGGGGAGGGGAAGGGGCTGCTGCAGTTCCCGCACCGGGATCCGGGACCCGAGGAGGAGACCCGCCTATCACGCGCCGCCCGCGGAGGGCAGAGGAGGCAGCTCCTACCAGGCGTCCCAGACCGTCCCAGCTGCCGGGCGTCTCCCGCTGCAGCCTGCAGCCCGCCCGGCGCGCCCCCGCCTCAACCCCGGAGGGCAGGTACCTCGGAGCCCCAGCCCCCGGGAGCCTCCCGGCCGCGGTCGGAGCGTCCCTCCGGATCCCTCATCCGACGTCAGCGTCAGCCGAAGGCGAGGGAAAGGGGCGGGGGAGCGCAGGAGCCGGCCCTTCCTGCGGCTGCCGCCACCAGCCGGAATAGCAGCCGGCGGTGCCCGTGCGCGCCGCAGCGCAGCGCAGCGGCCGGGGGGAGCGGGCGCCCTCGCCACACCGCTACCGACCGTCGCCTGGGCTCCGCCGCTGCCTCCCTTCCCCGCTTCTCCCCTCCCGCAGACGCCCGCCGGGGCGACTCCTCCGAGGAGGACCACAGGGAGGTGGGTGGGGTTGGCCTCACCTTGCTTGGGGTGGGTCGGGGACTGGGGGAGTGAGTCTCTCTCTCTCTCCACTCCCAGGCGTCTCTCCTCGACCCCCATCTCGTGGGGTATCCCCCGCTCGGATCCACCGCCCAGAGTGACCCCGCCCCTACTCCCCGGCAGGTGTTCCACGTGGCGATAGGGTTTGCGTCACAATGACCTGGCTGACAGGTGGGAGCCAAGGCGTACACCCCAGGGTTCCCTCCGTGCTGTGCCTAGTGCCTGCTGCTTGCTTCTAGGTTAAATTTCTGTGGCTTTAGAGGACAGGAGGCTTCATGACTTTGCCAAGAAAAGTTAGAGGCCTGCTGTACCTGGAAATCAAATTTGAGCTTAAAGAATAAAGGCCATATTTTAAAAACAGCTGTGTATGTATAGACATATATTTTTCATTCCCATCTGTTTCTGTATCTTTTATTTTTAAGTTATTGACATTTATAGCAGTTTCATCTTCTCTTATTGTCTGTCACCAGGAAAGAACCAAACCATTGTTTCTGGAGACCCTGCAGTGTACAGATCACAGGAAGAAAAAGTGTTGGCATAGTTGCTTCCTAATGTTACCTATGTGGAAATGAGACCTCAGTGTGCAATTACTCCATCCCTGGTTGTGTTGTATGTGTATAAATAAGTTCATTCAGTCGTCGCTGAAACAATTTAAAAGGGCAAAATGATAGTTACTGAGTAAGGATGCTGACAGATCTGAAATCCTGCGCTAACATGGATGGAATGCTAGCTATGTGCCCGGCACATTCTGTGTGCTTTACGTTTAATTCTTACAGCAACCCAATGCGGCAGGTAAAGTCATTATCCCGATTTTACAGATGAAGACACTGCCCAGAGTGCCACAAAGACATTATTGAGCAGGGATTTGAATCTGAACCAGGAGACTTAGCTTAATCTCAAGATAGCATGGTGTCTTGCCAGAATGGATGGAGAAAAAGTATAGATGTTGACATTTTAATAGAAAGATAGTAAGATAGTATAGCTCCAGAAATTTACATAACCTTTAAAGTTACTCTTTGGGGATTCTGTTTGTTACAGATTTGAGCCTGTCCTAGTCTAACACAAATTTTGGAGCTGAGTAAACAGCTCCTTAATAAGTGTGTTTGAGTAAACAAATCATGAATATGGTCTATGAAATAGCAAATTGTTGAAAAGCTAAGATTCAGGAGAAACTTTTAGAGAGAAAAGCATTGTTTCTATATATTTGGCTTTTATAAGAAACATTCAAACTAACCTGTTAACGCAAGCCAAATGACTTGCTGTATGTAAGAAGAAACAAAACAAAAACAAAAACCCAAAGCCTTGAAAATGAGAAAGGCTTCCTTACAAAAGAGTTAAGATATTTTAAGATACATTGATTCCAAGAACTGTAAACTTATGTGTAAAAAATCTATTATCAGGAGTTAAAAGGATAAAGAGATTATTATTCTTTAACAGAATGAAGTGCCGTAATGAACATCATAGGTGCTCAATAAATGTTGACTGAGCGTATCATCAGTTAATAGAAGCATTGAGAAAGGACTAAATTACATGAAAAAGGTTTTTTTCTGACTCTATAACGTTCTCCTTTCTATCAGTAGTGATTTACCAGTTAAATGGAAACTTGTCAGAAGCCCCATTGGTCAATCGCTGGCTTTGGGGGCAGATATTTAAATCAGTTGCAAGACAGCCAGTTGAATGGCAGGTTGTGTGTATGTTCAGAGTATCCCCTCAAAATGCAGATGATTGGAACAAAAATCAGATGGGAATAAAAGGGACAGTGGAGCTGCAATTAATTATACAGTTTTCCTTTTACCTTTCTGAATTCTAAGGTGAAAACTGACTGGGAGTCTAACGTGTTACAGAGGCTAAAAGTGGCGTCAAAAGCAATGTCTAAAAGAAAGCAAATACAGAATACAAGCATTGTCTAGTCAACATGACGCTGAAATTCTCTGGGCTCCCAGAAAGTTTAGGAGAAAACCTTAAATGACTTTTCATCATTCTAATTATTGTCCTAACACTTAGGATAATATTTGAGAAAGGAAATAACAAACAACTCTTACTCATTCTCCATCACCACAGAGTGCTTTTCCTTTTTAGATACGGGGTTTCACTATGTTGGCCAGGATGGTCTCAATCTCTTGACCTCGTGATCTGCCCGCCTTGGCCTCACAAAGTGCTGGGATTACAGGCTTGAGCCACCACACCTGGCCACCTTTTCCTTCTCATTAGAAAGAATGGCTCTATCGATAGCACTTTCATTTGTTTCTGAATAACAAGTTGTTGTTTCCATCTAGCAGAACACCAGTGAGGTGCTAGTGAGAACCTGACACAATCTGTAAGGAGAATGGCTACTGACTGATGGGATGAGAAATTAGGAGAGAAAGAAAGTGCATTTTTCAGTGTACAACAGAATGACAAAGAAGCTTTTCCATGAAAAAAATCTTTTCATATTCAATAATTTTTCAAGACCTTCCCAGATTCAAGATATGCTAATAGGACTACATGAGTTGGATTTGTGTTAAGTTTCTAACAGAGACTTGGAATAACCGTGGATTAAATGAAACTGGTTTATTTTCTCTCACTTAAGTTGGAAGTAGGCAGTCTAGGGCTAGAATGATCTCCACTGTGTCACTGGGCTGTTGCCCTTCTGTCATTCTATTCTGTCATCCTAGGCAAAGCAATATTGTTCAAAGGTAAACCCAGGCAAGGTGTAGAGAAATTGGTGGCAGAAACTGCTGGAGGGAATGTAAAATGGTACAACCACTTTGGAAAACAGTCTGAAAGTCTTTTAAATGATGAAACATAGAGTTACCATATGACCCAACAATTCCACTCCTAAGTTTATATCCAAGAAAAATAAAAACCTATGTCTACATAAAAACATAACACAAATGTCTATGGTAGTATCATTCAAAACAGTCAAAAGGTCAGAACTAACTGTCCTGCTGTGGACAAATGAATAAACAAAATGTAGTATATTCATGTAATGGAATATTATTCAGCCATCCAAAGGAATGAAGTACTGATATATGCTACAACTTAAATAAAACTGGAAACATGCTGAGTGAAAGAAGCCAGTCACAAATATTCCATTCATATGAAAGTCCAGAATACAGAAATCTGTAGAGACAGAAAGTACATTAGTGATCATTTAGTATGGGCGGATAGGGAGTGAGATCTAAAGGGTATGGAGTTCCTTTGTTTTTTGAGATGGAGTCTTGCTCTGTTCTGCAGGCTGGAGTGCAGCGGTGTGATCTCTGCTCACCGCACTCTCTGCCTCCCAGGTTCAAGCGATTCTCCCACCCCAGCCTCCTGAGTAGCTGGGATTAGAGGTGCACACCACCATGCCCAGCTAATTTTGGTACTTTTTGTTTGTTAGGTTTTTGTTTTTCTTATGAGACGAAGTCTTACTCTGTTGCATAGACTGGAGTGCAGTGGCATGATTTCAGCTCACTGCAGCCCCCATCTCCTGGGTTCAAAGGATTCTCCTGTCTCAGCCTCCTGAGTAGCTGGGCCTAAAGGCATGTGCCACTACACCCGGCTAATTTTTGTATTTATAGTAGAGACAGGGTTTTGCCATGTTGCCCAGGCTCGTCTTGAACCCGTGACCTCAAGTGATCCTCTCACTTTGGCCTCCCAAAGTACTAGGATTAGGAATTTCTTTTTCATGTGATGAAAATGTTCTAAAATTGGTGATATTTACAAGTATCTGTAACATGCTAAAACACGTTGAGCTGTGCATTTTACAAACCATTGTGAATTAGTGGTATGTGAATTCTGTCTCAGTAAAACTGTTAAAAAAAATTTTTAAATAGTTTTCATAGCTTTATTGGCACACACACATATGTGCACACATGTACACAGCAAATCCAGCATCTTCCCCAGGAATAATTACAGGGTAAGAACCATACAACAAACCCCAAATAGGCGACTTCTTTTCAGATTTCTGGATACTATACAAATTCTACCTGCACTAAGAAGCTAAATAGAAGGAAACAAGGTAGAACAAATTTGTTAATGAAAGAGAAATATTTCAGGTCCATCCATTGGATACCTCGTGGTGATATCAAGAAAAGTTCTGCTGCACCAATATTTTACAAGTATGCTCTGGTCTTAATAATATCTCAGCCTTCTTAGCTATCCCTGTTTAAATGAAGGAGAAGCAGACTGTTTACCTACCAAAACAATTTTTGGATAAGCACAAACACATATAATAATGGATTTTATGGTATTGAACTTAATATCAACAGGGAGGTAAAATGATACTTTGTCCTGAGAAATTAATATTAATGGAGGATACCATGGAAAGTAAAACAAAACCAGCTCCCCACTCTCCCCACCTCCAATCTGCACCTGCAGCAAAAACCCCCCAAAAAACAAAACAATATAAGAATTATGACCCCAAAGTCCCAAACTTCTATCATAATTCTTAAAAAAGAACACTCATTTCAGAGGTATTTTCAAATTAATGCCAGTTAGTTTGAATGGGCAAATTATAGGAAATAAGTTTTTCAGGAGCCATTTAATGGTCTTATGCCTTAAGGGATTCTTTTAGTTGAATAATTCCAAAGCTCCTTAGTGTTTGCCAAGTTACTTTCCTTCTTCTCCCACTGAAGTAATCTAAAATGAATTAAATTAGAAATCTATTTCATCTAATGTGATTGGAACAGTGTCATATTCCTAATACATAGGAATATATATTTATTCATTTCAAGTGGAACTTAATCCATAGGTCATCTCTGATTTGACATTAATTATTATGTAGACTGAACTCAATAGTATCTCTCTTGCATGTATATGTATTTATATTAATTATACATGGACATACAAATTATTCATTTACATATGATCTGATCTATTTTATTGGATTGTTGATATATATTTTTAATGTTCTAAATGTTCCTTACAATCACAAATCTCAGCCAATGTGAGCAAGTGAGGCAGAATGCCCCTCTTTCTCTTGGTGTATGGGTACTGTAAGGCAAATGAATGTCTCCTTCTAGACAGATATTTATAAGCCCCTACAGCTCTGCAATCTTTTTGTTTTCTGACTCATGTTTGGCAGCATAAGTAATCATTGTACCTGTTCTATAGTAGGGGATGTTGAGACAGAGCTTAAGCTATTATCATTATCGATGAGTTTAATAAGAGCCATACATATAAATCTCTCCAGAGCTCATCTCATTAATAAGAAAAAAAATAACTTTCTCTTTAGAATTGTTGGGAGATTAAAATGAGATAATCTAGAAGAATAAACTTAGAAAAAAATGATTGAAAAATTATTTAAATCATTGTCTAATTTTTACAGGTGTTACAAATTTAGAGAAAGATTCCATCAAATTTTATTAATAAAAATAAAGTCCTTTATTCCTGGATTGTGTAATACTTAGAAACAAATTGGATTTACTCAAGAATATGGGCTAAGTATCTTGGCCAATTTGAGTTTGATTTCTGTGATCATTTGTACTCTCCATGTAGCAAAACAAAGCTTTTGTTATACTCTCAGCAGAGCTAGTTATATCTTTAGGCAGATTTGTGTGTGCATGTGAAAATAGAACAAATGTTTAATTAGTAGCATTAACTTTTGTTAATTAAAATTAACTTCCTT